TAAAATAGAAATACACTAAAAAGTAGAAAACACATCTGAGGTGTTTTTTCCTATGGAAATTTACTGAGTATTAAATTAAGAGATAACTATGCTGTATTACATTTCCCACTCTGGTAAAGTGTTCCTATAGGATATGACAGGTAATTGAGTCATCAACATGAAATATTAATAATTAAGATGATACATTCCATTTCTTAATGTGTTGTAGTTCCACGTCTATCTATTTGGAAATATGACACAGATTTACTGGGACAAAGCAATCACCTTGAAGCTGTGCTCAGTAACAGCTGATTAGCATTATCTGTTCCAAATGTAAAATAAGTTCAGCTTCTCTGACCTCATTAGAGGGAACTGAGAGTACCTCAGTAATAAATGCTCATCTAGCTGCTTCCAATAATTTGATTTATATGGAAGAAAGTTTTAATGACACAATCCCTGCCATTAATAGGCCAGCAGTCCTTAAGGATGTAGAAGAAAGATTCTGAAAATAATTAGACTTAGCAGTAAAATTAACAAGGGGGTTTGAAGAGGAAAATATTATTTTTGTCAATAGCATACAGTGTGTAATAGATCAGCCTTTCACTCACTTATGTTTAGAAACATCAACACAGAAGTAAGGCTAATGTATCCAGAAGTTCTTGGTAATCTGTTCATAAACTTAGATATATGCACTTGTTTTCTTTTGAATTTGAATAAGTAGAGTCTATGCCTACCAAAAATAATTATCATTCTGGCACACCGTTAATGAGTCTTTTTTCCATTGCTAAATGTAAGTATTTGGGGTGACAAAACACCAAAGTGGTCTGTGAACCTGAGAGACTGCCTTAAGTTTGGATCTAAATCAAAAGAAGAGGATATAGAGATTCAAATGAAACTTGTTTGCTTTATCATAGAGCAAGATGGTAAATTTTAATTTCACACACTTTGCATAAGATTATAATGCAAAAATACAGATTGCAACTTGTCTGTTCCAAATATAATTTTATCTGTGTTGATAGAAATTAATATGCCATCCTGAGTCCTTTAAATGTATCAAGTTATTCTACAACTCAAAACTAGCAAAGAGCAAAATGGTATTAATGGTATAAAGGCCTCTTTTGTAGTCTCTGATTTGGGAGAACTGGTTACTCCAGGAGAGGCAGGTATATTGGCAAATGATATGTAAATGTATAAGCTTGGACTGTTACTCATTTTTCACAGATATATTATTATTCAGAGAGTTTTCAAGATGGCAGGAGCAAAGAGTGACTTAGATCTTACTATTAGCGAAGGAAGACACCAAATACCAAAAAGCCTGCTCCCTAAACCCCTTATTTCAGTACTTGAAATGGCACATGTCACCTGGATAACATTCATTTATCTTTCAGTTTAAAGATCAAAAATTCTCTTTATGTTTTCACAGTGCTCTGAATTTGAGAGCTTGATCCTACTAAATCTGTTAGTCGGTTTAGGGCCCAATTACTAGTCACAGGAACAAATGAAAACTCCTGATAAGATGACACCATGCTGAGATAATTCAAAAGGAATCAGTCACACTACTTCAGGCTGACTTTTTTTTTTTTTGCTTGAAATATGGCTCTTTGAAAACTGACTATTTATGAGAAAAAAAGGACCCCTTTCTTTTTTCCTTTTCTTTCAGAGTTTACCTAAAGCCTCAATGAGTTGCATTATCTTTCTCCCCTCTGAGGTAAAAAAGAGCAAGTCTAGGTAGATAAAAGACATGTTTACTCCTGTCTGGGAAGGCTGCACACAGATGAAGGATCCAATAGCTCTGATACTTTTGTATTCAGCTAAGATCACTCACAAGGTGCTAAGTGGATGGTTTGGACTCCTTAAATCTATCATGTTCCAGAGTTATTTTTTTCTATATGAGTTCTTAATGTAATTAGTGCTCTGGAAATGGATGTATGTGTTGCCTCTAGCAACATTTTCAACAACAACTTTTTCTTTACCCCAGTAGTGAATGATCAGATAGGTGAAAGCAGACTTACTGCAAGTGGAGAAACTAAGGCTGACATTATAAACATATTTGTACTTCTCTAAATGTGACAGAAAAACTGGGTCCATTTCCCAATGCCATTATCTTTGGTCCCAATTTTCTTGTGCTAAATTACCTGCGTGTGTGGTTGTGTATGCTCCTCAGGTAGCTTTTTGTTGTGGGAATCTACTTGCCCAGCCAGTTTCCCTGTAGGTATCAACATGAAAACAAACTATCCTCAACTCTATAGCCTTAATGAGGGAAGGCACCATGGGAAAGTAAGGGGACATCAGAATATGGTTTTTTGGTTCCTTTTCTGTAATATAAGATATTGGCTTGTGGCATAAGAAATAAATTAAAAAATCTAAACAAAAAGTTTGTATTCTCATAAGGAGGCATAGCAAAAGACACAGGTATTGTGGGTTTTCCACATGGATAAAGAAGAACTGAAAAAAATACTGGGTCTAAATTTTCAGTGTTTCTTTATGGGCACTTTCTATGTAATTGCATGACATGGATTGAGATTTACAGTTGAACTGGATCTTAAAGGTCTTTTCTGACCTAAATAATTGTGTCATTAAAGGTACCATCAGCTGTACCATTGACTATGTCTTTCCAGCATATAAGAAACAGACAAAGAATACAATGTAGTGCAAATAAATGAGAAACAAAAGCAGTCATTGTGTCAGACTGGTGTGGTTTGTGGTTAAGAGTCAGATTTTGAAAACCTGGAGTTGTTTGTTTAGGCTGCCTCCCTGCTACTAGGGAGGGCTTTGGATGATGATCAGTTTGGAATGAGCCTTGGAGGGGAGCTTGGAGCCCTGCAGTCAGGAGCAGTGCCTGTAGCAATGCATCAGATATGGGTCCATGCTATCAGGCGGCTCTGCAAGCCAAGGCAGCGAACTGAGGGCTGCCCTAATGCTCAACTCGGCAGGGTACACAAAGCCCAGCACCTTCTCTCAGAGGTAGGTGATGATAACCTTGTATTTAGGGGCCTGATCAGGAAACTCTCATTAAAAATGGATGAAACTAAAGTCAGTGATAGTGTTGCTCATCTGGAGCGCGAAGAGTCTTGTCTCTCAAGCTGTGTCCAGGCAATGTGTATCCAAGATGCAATTCCTTCCCCAGCCTTCCCATTTCCCATCTTGTAGGAAGGGGTGCACAGATTGCTGCAAATGGGGAGAAGATACTTTTCTACCTGGCCAAGCTGTGCTCCCATTGAAGACTGGCTTCCAGGACGGAACATATAGTGAAACTGTTTGTCTAACAGCCGTTTGTGCATTTGATCTTTCATAGCTGATGACCTAAATGCATTTTTAAATAGTATCATGGGATTTCCCCTGTTTCTCTATTTTAGTTCACAGTAGAACTTAATTCCCTCTGAAGTGCAGTCAGTGAGAGAATACAAACTTTATGCATCTTCATGACTTATCTCAAATATTTAACCCAAAACTTCATAATTTAAAGAAGGATTTAGACAGTTGGAGTGTGGGATTAATGGCTTATATCCAAACCAGTGATTTGCAGAACTGTCATTTTCTTAGAAGTTAAGAACTATAAAAAAAAAAATTAAGTTCTAAATGTTTGGTTTTCTATAATAATAAAAATGAAAAGCCATCATTGCCTTTTAAGTCATGTCAAGGCACATGCTACAGTTCTGTTGAAAGACCTTTGAATATATGAGAAACTTCTCAGCTTGAAAAGACTGTAACAAAGAGAGTAAAAATACTTGTCTGTAGGGAAAGTATTTTAAGTCTAAACCCTTATAAAATGAATAGGGAAGTATTTTCCAAAGAAGTTGTAATCAAGTTTATAGCAACTCAATCGGAGAGCCTGATCCAGTTCTCGTGAATCCATCTCAGCTGTTAGCAGGCTCAGTGCCTATGTGCAGGTGTTTAATTAAGATGTCCGGATAGGAACTAGTTTTCTAACCGAAGGCGCCAGTCTTGTAATTATCTGTCTTTCTGTTTTTGTTGAGATTCTATCACATTTCTCACAAAATTTTCACAACATGCAGAGCCTCAGTTCAGTGGGCATCTGCTCTGGGCTCTTGAAGCAGGTGCTTTACCCTTGTTATAGTTAGTGGCACTTTGATAGGAGAGATGGGCTATGAAATATGTCACACTCCTCCCTAAGGAGGTCACTATCACAAAGACTTCGCAGTGGTAACATCCGTTGGCATGAGATGCAACACTGTTGTGAGAGTGTGTATATATATATTCATATATATGTATAAACAGTGGGTTCCTTCATTTTTAAGCTATTTAAGAGCAACTTGTATTTGTCAAGAGAAGAACCTATGTGCTTGCTTTGGCCTTCTCCCAAATACACTTTAATGACAGGAGGACTGCAATGGAAAAATACTCCTAAGCCTTTCTTCAGAGGCTGCAGCTCTGAGACACCCAGCTGAGATGCAGAAGCCAGCGAAGTGTCAAACTGAGTTAAGTTTGTAGTACTCCAGACGCGTGCCTTGAAGGACACCGTGCATACCACCACCTCAGCGACTCGTGCCCTGCCTCTGCCAATTCCTGGACCTCACAGAAAGTTGGGAGGAGGCAGTATGAAGAGCTGCATAAACAAAGTACTGCATGGTTAGTGTCAGCTTCACCCTGTGAACTCAAAAAGTCAGTCTCTGATGGGTCTGGGAATAACTATGAGTTATCAGCTGGATAAAAACCTCACCTGCAAGGAGAGCATTAATAACCCTAAGGGAACACCGATGCTATCTCGCTGAGCAAAGCCACCTAAAGGATATCAAGATGGGAATAACCTCTTGCCATTGTTTCAGTGTGATTAATATCTGATGATGTTTTTGCTTAATCATTAAACAAAATGAATTTACAATGTTGCTCTTGGAAAAATAAGATAGTCTCCTATCCTAGCACTTAGTGCAGTGTACTGGAAAAGGCACTGGACAAGAACTTGTTTGTTTCTCTTACCACTTAAAGCCTGCATGCTTGGAGCTCTGGGTACAGAGAGCTCGCTTCATGAGCCACCAGGTGGTGAGAAGGCTCTATGTTACTGTTCTTCCTTTACAGAGTATCTCAAATCTTTTTGGCCCTGCTCCTGGAAGGTGCTGAGCATCATTGCTCCATAAAGAGGACTGGCCTTTGTGAAGCACTGTGAGATCTCTTGCCTGGGTAAGGAGACCTTTTCTAAACCAATCTCCTTCCACTGACATACCCATGTGTGATTTTTGACATTCAGGTAACTACTAATTCAGGGTCGTGGGCGTCTTTGTCTCTCTACCAGCACAATCTCACTTCACTGTCTTACAAGCTCTTGCGGTCAGCAATATTGCTTACCTTGTGGTCCCAGGTTCTGGCATTGGTTGTGATTATTCTGAAAGATGGTGGCTGGGAAATACTCTTCCAACTGCGGTGTGAAGTGGGAAGGAGTGAAGAGGTGAAAGGGCTTGCTGCTGCTGGACAGGGAGCAGAAGTAGAAATACCTGCAAGGGAGAGATATTTGGGGAACTGTGTGAAAGGGCCCCTCTACTCCACATTAATACTTTGAAGATACAGTGGTAAGTTATATTAAGGCAGCATATTGAGAAATGACAGTAAGCTGCAAGAATAACAAGGTGCCACTGATTACAACATTACAATATCATTCCCGCTTTTCTGCAATACACCTTCAAGAAAAGAAAAATAGTTGACTTGAGCTAGAGGTAGTTGCTTATAGAGTGACAGGTAACATTGAAAACCATCATGTAATTTATCTGTCAATGAAATATTGCTCCTAACAGCATGAATCCAGGCAAGGCCTAGAGAGCAAATGTTATATAACAATATGAAAAGTAGAGAATTAAATTCAGAATATAGATTTTAAGCAAAAGCACAGAGAACTTGGTCTTAGAAACAGCGGAGGCAATAATTCATAAAGGTATGCAGAACACACTGACATGAAAGAACAGAAGCATATGTACTCAGGAAAACAGAAGGAACTAAAAGGCTAAAATAGGTATATAGAATGAAAACAAAGGCTGATAAGGAAAGAAGATGAGCTAAAACCCAGGTATGCTTGCCAAGATATCAGGAACCTCCGCCAAATAAGCTAGAAAGGTAGCCAGAGTAGGAAAGTTCACAAAGTTCATGATGATGATGGGAGGAGTGCTGGGGGCTCATGAGGCTGAAGAACAGGAACGACCCTCCCAGATTCTCCCCAAATTGAAGACCACACCTCTAACTCCGCCTAAACTCCACCTGTTATGAATATTAAAAATGTATGTTGCAATATTATGAATATTCATATTGTATGATGCAATTGCTTGCCAAAAATTGTATAAAAAGTCCGACTGTGAGTTGCTAGGATGAAGCAGTTTTGTCCAGGGAGACCTGGCTGCTTCCCAACATCGTAATAAAAAAATACCTCCTGCTTATAGACTAAAAAAACTTTGAGTAGTTTATCAGGGCCTTTTGGGGCAAATAATTGGCATCAAGCATATTTCTTACATATTTGCTCACTCAAACTTTAGATTGTAATTACTTAAGATACCTTTTAATTAAGGTAACAATTAAAACGTGCTAATTCTGCTGAAGTGTCAATGAAATGAAGTTGCTCTTGTTTGTGCCATCACTTTGTAACCAGCTGAGGGCACTACCCTGATGCAGTAATAGAAACACAAAGTAGGAGACCATCTCTGTCTAGATAGTGTAAATTTTCAAAGCAAAAGAGAAACAAAGACAGGGATGCTTTTTTTTCTCCCTCTATCCTATTTTTAGTTCTGCTCTTATTTTCCTTTAATCAATCTATTTCCTCCTCCTTAAACACTTACTGTGTTCCAAGAGTTGTCCATGCCAACACTCAGCCAAACTACTCGAGTTTGTTCTTTAATTTCTTGTAGTTAATAAGCTACCATCAAAGAGTGTTTTTATTAGGGAGATAAACCTGCCTACATTTAAAAATGCTTTGAAACAATGTTGGCAATGTTTATGATACTCCATAAATGGAATAATGACTACAAAAAAAATAAATCTCTTATATTGTGGGCCCTAAACCTTGTTCCAAATTATAAGTTATAAAATAAGGGACAATTAGCAATGAAATAATAAGCTACAAGGTAATAATAGCTTTTTTCTTTTTCCACAATAGTATAGTTCCTCAGTAGTATTAAGTGATAAATAAACAAATAGTTGAATGACTGCATTTAGTAGACCTATTTTTAATCTCACTTGCACTATTGTAATTCAGGAATAACTCCAGTGTGAAACATTTAAAGTTAGGATAAAGGAAGCCAGGATTCATGTAAAAATAGAATTATTTTATATAAATGTAAATAAACATTTAATTTCCCCACAACTTTTGCATTTCATTTGCAAGAAGGAGTTTTTACACACTGATCAAATGAAGAACAAGCACTTAAAAGAAGGAAGGGTCTTTGTATGACTCCAAGACAGAACCTGGACCTGCCTTTGAAAACTGATACTTATTACTGGATTTGACTATGGCAATAGCAGTTCTTTCAAAATGGACAGAGGACCCTAAGGACAGGAACTTGTGTGCAGACACAAGCACCTAAAATTTGTTACAAGTTCAGTAGCCTTCTGGTATGGGAGAACTGGCAGCAAGAAGATGGTGAGGCTATTTACATATAAGTCAGTACAAGGCAAGTACAAGTACTGTACATCCCACAGTTCCTTCCAAAGAACCTTTTTGCCACGAAAAGAGCAAGAGGCAACACAGCTGTCTTTCCACAAAGAATCTTTTTATACCAGTGTTTATCTGATTGCAAACAAATGTGCAGAAAATTATCTTCGGTAAATAGTGAATTACTCATCTACAGTGGGTATGAAGAGCAGTACTACTTCCTGGGAGAAATGCTTCTCCTCAACAGAAATGTATTCTTTCTTTTCTAATTTTCAAGTCAAAGCAAAATCCATCTCTTTGCTCTAAGTCCTCCAAAATACTACTGTAAAGCAGCAAGACTAATCAGCAATGCTGAAGTGCTTTCTGGCACTGAGATTCCTGCTGGGATATTGGACTTCCAGGGAGAAAAGGAGGAGGAAAAGGAGAATGGAAAATTTCTCATGGCTTGATGTCTTAGTGATTTGGCCATCCTGCTTGAATTATTTATATGATAGAGAAGCAGAAATGAGCATCTAAACTAAAAATTAATCTTTAACTTAAAACTATCCCTTCGTTAACTGCAGAACTTATCAGTGAACTGAAATAAAAAGTCCAGTTCTGCAGCTGGAAGAGGAGATCTTTACAGTTCAGGTTCTCATCAGTAGCAATAAAGGCAGCTGCAAAACAAGAGCACAAAGAGATAGAGACTTCCGTGTTATGCATTGTCTGTATTACAGCAAAGCAGAACTGATAAACAGGGTTGGCTTGAACAAGGGCATGGCTAGTCATCACCATTCTGCAAAACACCCTTGAGGTGACTTATATTGCAACAGTTTAAGAGCAAACTGCTAGAAGTAGCACTGGGTGTTGCAGTGTCACCTACCAGGAAGTGCCAGATCTTACCTATGCTTCCCACCAAACATTTTCATTGCTGTTACACAGTTTATTGAATTTGATATTATTTCTTTAACCATCTTCAAATGCAGTCAGCACTGTGATCTGCTGTTCATTCCCCTGCAGGTGTTTGGATCTCTGCAGCTCCTGGTCATTACAACAACAGTGTCAGCAAGTGGTCAGGACTGGACTCGAGAACTGCCACATGAAGAGTTATCATCCTGCTCCTCCTCCTCCTAGGGTGTCACCTAGTCAGCTAGAGAGGTGACTAAGGCTTGATTGCCTGCTTCCACCAAAGGTATGCCACCTATCAATGAATGTTGTTAAAGGAAGTTAAATAACCCCATTCTCTCAGTTATCTTCCTTAACATGATTGCTTAGAGGGAATGTTTCTTTCAATGGAGTAACTGATTTGGTAAATTAGTTCCTACTGCTGTACACATCCTTATCTCCTTTCATGTCAAATGTTCTTTATGTTATTTGCAAACTGGGTGAATTCTGACTTTGTTTTCCTCTATGTTGGTTGCACAATGTTCAGTTTCCATTGGCACCCCTGTCCCTGCACACACCTGAAGTGCCGCATCCCAGGGGGGAAAGCCCATGAAGCACACACTTCAGGAGTGACAAGGAGGGCATCAAAGCACCTTCAGGAGCTGCTTCTCATATGTTTATACGTTCAGTTGATATTTTATCAGTCATCCTAGTTAAAAAGTCAACTTGGATTTCTTGTTAAATGGCTGCCCAAGAACACTAAGTTTTCTTCTAACAGTGCTTAATGGGATGAGAGGAAGTGAGACACAAAATGTTCTTACTACTAAGGAATGAAGGAAGAGAAAGTGCATGACTGACTGCCATACATTATTTCTAGAAATAGGCATACTACATTTTTCTATAAAGCAGCTACTGCTCCTTAAAATGAAAGCAAATAAAATACAATTGAAACTGAACACTGAAGTCTTTGTTTGACATTCCCCGCACTCCTGGCTTTATTATCCTTTCAAATAATTTTTCCCCTCCTCGTAACACTGAGCTATTTTAGCCTTGCCTGAAATCTTTCTACAGTTTTATTGAACTGACTCCCTTTTCCACATAAGCTTTTCCAGTTGCGATCCAAACGCTTTTGAGCAGCATTGTCTGTGTATTACTAGTGCATTACCATGAAGTTCCATCAGCTATTCCCTTCCCTCCCTCAAGTACAGCAAAACATAGCTGCTACCTCATTTCTTGTTTGAATTATTAATATTTTGTGCACTCAGCTAATCTGTAAGTATGTCCTCACATTCATCTTCCAAACTTTGCCACTGTTCATACTTACTTTTTTTTATGAAAGAGACTACTTTTGTGATAGTCTATAAGCTTTTCTTGAAGTTTGTCTGTTTCAAAAATATCATAGAATAATTTAAAATATCCCTAGAATATTTTATTTGTTTGCTTTATTTTTTTTTCCTTCACAGCATTTTAGTTTCCTTGTTTTATTTTCTTAAACTGTTAGATGCTAATGAAACATGATAATGTCCTGGTTAGAACGGCTGGGACCAATTCATCCCTGGATGGGTGTAACCCAAAACTGTGTATTCTATAGCCTCCATGCCATTTCCCAAAAACTGCTGTCAGTAGAGGCCTGCAAGGTGGGAAGATGTTCCTGTACCCTTTTATGGAATTCCCCGCTCTGATATCCTTATATGGAATTTCCCGCTCTGATAAGAGGGACTGAGCATCCACATGCCCTTTTATGGAATTCCCTACTCTGAGGGAGGGACTGAGCACTCCCGCCTGAACTGGAGAGTATATAACTGGGAGTTTCAGAGCCTTGGGGCTCTCTCTCGTGGGACCCAGAGGAAGACAGCAGACCACCGCTGCTCCCAACCAGGCTGAGACCACCACCCTCGACTGGACTGCAATCACCACTTCTGACCAGACTGCAGCAGCTCTCCCACCAGCAGGTTTATTCCCTCTCCCTTTGCTTTGGACTCGGGGGGTGGGCCAAGGTACACCGCTTTTGTTCATACCCCAGGGTGCTGGGTTTGTACATTTGAGTTTTGTGGATTAAAACCAATTGTCTGTCTGTATAATTGTACTTATTGCATTATTTTAATAAATTGTTATTCTGACTTATAAATCTCTCTTTTGAATTGAGTTCATTTTGCCTTGCTGGTTAACTTTTAAACCAGCACAATGATGAAGACATTTGTCTCATGTCTGCATCTTTCCAGGTCATTTGCACGTAACCAAGATAAAAAGAAAAAGATACCATCACCACTGCACACGTCCCCTGTATAAGCAGCCATTTTGTGATTCTGATATTAAAAGGTACGTGTTTCTTCAAGTCACTATAAGGTGACAACTACATATATACATATATAGAGAGAGATATTCATTCTTTTTAGAGTGGAAATGCATAGAATTCACCAAAATTGAATATTCGATTAGAAAGAGGTAAAGTCATATTGATGGAGACACTGGTACTTAAACCCATTGCATGAGTTTGGTTTCTCTAGCAGTACTGTTCTGTCCTGTGCTATGATGCTCCTTGTTCAATTGTGGCATAACCAAAATGTCTATTTTGTACATAACTGAAGCTGGAGAAGCCTGTCTAGTTTTCTACAGTAGGGTTAAATGAGTGTGCATTCAGTGGCCTCTGTTGCAAATGTTTTCCAAATTGACGTTTGGAAATGGAAAGGTATAAAGAATAAGTGAAATATGTGTGAAACTGAGGCATCCAGCAGGCTTTGTGGTAAATGAAGATAATGGCCCTGAAGTCTCTCTAGACAAATACCTGATTAAAATTCTCATATGCTGGGATCTCTTGACTTGTCTGTTTGCAATGCCCATGGCAAAACTAGGTTTCATCTCATTTTTGGATCAGTGACCACACTGTACAATGCCTGTTCCTATCACTCTCTTCTGGAGGCGCGATGCCTTGCACTTTTCTGGAGCCCCTCATAAATGCATCTGTTGCGGTCCCATCCTCTCCTCAGCTTGTGTGGGAACCAGCTCCCTTCTGCAAGACCCAGCTCACAGGCGGAATACACTCCATCTGTCAAAAGGGCCAATGTGAAGATAACTTTGCTCTCTTGGAACCCACTGCTGGCTAAAGTGAGATTGAGCAACATCACACGAGCAGAGCCATTGCCTGGCCCCCCAAAAGCACACAGCAACAAAAAGAGAAGCAAACATAAACGGTCAGCTTTTACTTAATATTGATCAAGGAACCTTGGGCCCCTTTCAGACATGACCTGCAGTGTTTCGGCTCAGGTATCGTCCCGGGCACTGCCCCAGCAAGTGCCAGCATCTTGTCTGTGTCAGGGAAACTCAGTTCATCAGGGACCAGTTAGCACCATCCCAGTCTGGGACTCCTGGTCCTCTCTCCTCCATCCTGTGCAGCCTGGGAAGTTCTTCTGACCATTTCTGTGATCTTGCTCTTACTTCTTATTGTCCTCTGTAAAATGGACAGTTGCCAAATATTTGCAGCCACTTGCCACAGTCCAAGGCTGGAAGAAATAGCCAGACTGGGGTGTTTAAGTTTGGGGTGCTTGTTGCAGAACTGTTGTTAAGCCTTACCCACAGAAGTTCAATCCAAAAATGACTATAATCTAAGCTATAAAAACCTCATCCTCCACCGCATCTTTGTTGCTAAATCCCAGAAGCTGCTTTGTCTCTTTGGAAATGTCCTGATTTTTTTCCATGCTGCCTCAAAAATTCCTGTAATAATCCCTTTTGCTTTAGGCCAAATTGCTGCTGCTGTGACTAGTGATGATAATATCAGAAGGGGGTTGTTGATTAGATCCACCTCTTGGAGGTAGTGTTTACCTTTTTATGGAGAAAACAATGTGAGAAGAAAATGGTACTTTGATCATCACTTAAGATTGTGTTTCTTTTCCTCAGCATGTATTAGTATTTAAAAAATAGTTCTGCATTTAAATAATATGCCTACTTTTAATCTCTTCATCTTAAAAATACACCCAAATTTAGATTTTCTTCTCTCAGTTATAAAGTCATCTCCACAGCAGTGCTTTGCAGCTTCACTCTCCTGCAAAATCAGCATTTGACCACTTTCAATACCAGTGTTTCCAGTTTCAGGAAATGGACGCTGGGGATAACATCTATTGTTAGAGGCCTTCTCAAAGCTTTACTTCATAAAGTGAAGTAAACCTTGCAACCTTGCTTCTAAGGGAAGGTTGGAAAATGGGGCCCATCCTTCATACAGCCAGGATCTCCAGTCAAAATGAACAATGTTTCCCTCATCTTGTTCATCATGCTTGGGTTTTCAATCTTTCTTCTCTGTCAGAGAAACATAATTGAAATTGTTAATATTATCATAGCCTATCACCTTAGTGATGCATCAAAGTTAAGGAATTATGGATGGACTTGGAACTACACATTTTGTTACCAGTATAGAATATTTTTAGAATAAAAGTGTTAGGTTTTGACCTTGGAGTCCATCCTATCACAGCCCAATACAGCAGCTATTCTGAATTTAGCCCAACCAAGTATCTAACATCCAAGTATTACTCTACCAATTTAAGACACTACAGCAACAACTTCAAGGAAACATGGAGGGGAAATTGCAGGAATGAAGAAAAACATACTTTAAAATCTTATGTTTTTAAAATCTTTACTTACCTTGTAAAAAACAAGATGGCAGAGAGGTATGCAAGTACTAAATGCTTTCTGCACTTATCAAGTGTTTGAGTATTGACACTGTTTTTATTCAAACACAAAAGCTATTTTTTCAGTATCAGGTTTGTTCTCCCTTATTCATTTAAAATATGCAATGTGTGTTAGTTAATTCATTTTTCTCCCTCCCTCTGGCAGCCAGGAGGG